TGGCTCCTGCAGGTGTCTGTTAGACGGCTGGATGAATCTGTCCCAAGGACTGAACCAGTCTTGAAGACCCCTCAGCCAAGAAAGGCAGTTAGAGCCAACTTCATCAGCTCAAGAGATGAGAAGGATTTCATGCGGAGGCAGTTGAGGATGAACCAAGAGATGAGACAGCAACACAGAATAGCCAGAGACAAACGCCCTGAGGCACAACCTGTGAGCAACTCTTATGGGCCTCCTGCTCCTCCTGTTGTCCCTGAAGAACCTGCCTCTTCTGATGGGGCTGCTGGAAGCTATTTGCCTCCAGAGACATCTGGTGGAGGAGCTACTGGAAGCTATTCGCCTCCAGAGACATCTGGTGGCTACCCTGCTCCTGCTGAAGAACAACCACCTGTGGTAAAATTTTCTCAATGCATCACGATACCTTTAACTATATATACATCCTTAAAAAAAAGACCATAATAATAATTGGATCTTCTTTAAACAATAAATCAATGCAAAAAATTATTTATTGTGCTAAAATAGAAAAAATTAACATTTCAAAAAGATTCCCTAAAATTAGCCTAATACAACTTTATGGACAACTTTTACCATGCCCTAAGCTATTAAACACATAAAAACCACCAGAAAGTCAGTTGCAGTATTCAAAAAAAATCAACTTATAAATTCCTCATACTGGTGTAGAGCATCAATGGTGTTTTCATTTTTTTCACAGTGTTCAGTTTAGGATCATTGAAACATTTTAATGATGTAAAGTTAGTTTTTGCTGAACTTTGCCTGTATCTCAATCACAAAACAACTGCTATTCAATAATAATATTGAATATTTCAGTTAGTCATCAGCATATTCACTTGCATTGAACATTCTCCCAGCAGGGCTAGAAAACTTTTTGTGCACTTGAATGATCTCATTCAGAGCAGGATGTTATTGATTTTGTTATTTGAAGCCAGCAATCAATTTTCTGATTGAAAAAAATACATGTATAACCAGAAGACAAAATGTAGTCCTCGTACGTTTGTTAAGTCTTCTAGTATGACTTGGAGTCTTGGTCTACTACGGATACTTACGAAGTATACGTAAGTCGATACTTTCGGGTGAGTCTTCCAGGGCAGAGGAAGCAGATGAAAACGGGAATGTGAAAGGGAATTTCACCTACTGGAGTGATGCTGGGGAAGAACTAACTGTGGTTTATCAAGCTGGCAAAGACACCGGTGTGGTGTTCCTCAGAGATGACAGACTCACTGCCAAACCTGCCACTGAAGGCTCCAAGAAGAACATGCATCATGGACACCATGACACACAACACCAGGAACATGGACACCATGACACACAACAGGAACATGGACACCATGACACACAACAGGAACATGGACCCAATGATCAGCAACATGAAAATAATAACCAGCATCAGCACCATGGAATACCTCCACAGATTCAGATCCATGAGGAAATTCAGCCAGAAGTGCCTCAGCCTATTGCCCCCCTGGAGCCTCACGTCGTCGTTATAAAAGGTGGTGTTGGTTGGGTCTCCGGTAAACGTCGTCACTAGGTCGGACACTTTTAGGGACAAGTCGGAGGTCACGGTGTCGTGGTGAAACCACCAAGTTATTTTGTCGTCGTATCCAAGCCTGTGTCTCCACCTGGATCCCAGTTCCAGCAGCCACCAACTGCACCCCAGAGGTATTTATTTGAACATATTGTTTCCTTATACTGTACATGTAGCAAAAAATGACCATTTCTTGCACAGCAAACTTTCCTGGTGATGAAAAGCTCTTTTATTTTTGAACAAAATTCTCTTTTATTTTCACACCACTGTATAAAAAGTCAAACTTAAAAAGTTTATTCAAAATATAAATAGGATACAATTTTTAAAACTTAGAAATGTTCCAACTGTATTTGGTGGAAATATTTTTCTGCCTGGAAAAATGTATAAAAATGGTTTCCATGTGTTCATAGGAAAGTTTGCTTTACAGAATAAATGACCTACATAGCAGAACCTTTCTCAGAGATTGATTTTTATTCAAATTACAGACAGCACTCAATTTACCCCTGTAAATATACAAGGAAAAGCTTGCATCTTATGAGTGTAGAGCTCTCTGTGGAAATATCAAATTTGAGATTTATGAGGAAAAAATATCCCTTGAAGGATTTTTACTCAAGGTATGGTTCTGAGCTAATGACCCAGCAGGTACTGATCTGATAATATTTGATCTGTAAAACTTCAAAGTTTTCAGAATTATCAAGCTTGGTTATTTCAACTGTCTTTGGACTCTTCCAGCTGTTATTTTGGTGTATTAGGGTGTTTGTGGCCAAGCAGCAGCAATATTTTCCACCACAACCAACCCAGAGGCCATTTGCAGCAGTGATCCAGCCTGTGAAAATCCCTGTTCAGCCTCCAGTGCCACAGCACCACTTTGGTGGTTCAATAAAACAGCAGCATACCAAGCCTGTGTCTCCACCTGGATCCCAGTTCCAGCAGCCACCAGCAACTGCACCCCAGAGGTATTTATTTGAACATATTGTTTCCTTGTACATGTAGCAAAAAATGACCATTTCTTGCACAGCAAACTTTCCTGGTGATGAAAAGCTCTTTTATTTTGGAACAAAATTCTCTTTTATTTTCACACCACTGTATAAAAAGTCAAACTTCACAAGTTTATTTAAAATATGAATAGGATACAATTTTTAAAATTAAGAAATGTACTAACTGTATTTGGTAGAAATATTTTTCTGCCTGGAAAAATGTATAAAAATGGTTTCCATGTGTTCATAGGAAAGCTTGCTGTGCAGAATAAATGACCTACTTAGCAAAACCTTTCTCAGAGATTGATTTTTATTCAAATTACAGACAGCACTCAATTTACCCCTGTAAATATACAAGGAAAAGTTTGCATCTTTTGAGTATTGTAGAGCTCTCTGTGGAAATATCAAATTTGAGCTTTATGAGGAAAAAATATCCCTTGAAGGATTTTTACTCAAGGTATGGTTCTGAGCTAATGACCCAGGTACTGATCTGATAATATTTGATCTGTAAAACTTCAAAGTTTTCAGAATTATCAAGCTTGGTTATTTCAACTGTCTTTGGACTCTTCCAGCTGTTATTTTGGTGTATTAGGGTGTTTGTGGCCAAAAGGGTATTCCCCTTTTGTTTGGCCTTTTTTAAAATACTGTACAGGAAACCAATAATAAATGCCAGGTTTCCTGCAATAAAATTGGGGAAGGGAGATCTTAAAGTGGCAGGAACAATTGATGTTTGGAAAAATCCCAGGAACCCCACATAAAATTCAGGAAACCTGTAATCAATGTCACGTTGCATGCCATGAACTTTGGATAGAAGTCCTTAAAGTGAACTTTTATTTGACACTTTAAAGGCCATCACCCTCATATGGACCACCAAGACCACAGCAACCATCAGCAAGTTTTCAACAGCCCCAAACTGCACCAGCCATGACGTCAGGGATGGGTTCAATGCCATATCAATTTTCCTACTCTGGACCTCATGGAACCTACAGGTAAATCCTTTGATCACATTAAATTTATATTTATTTTTATGGTCTCAAAATGCAAAAGGGGTTTCTTCTTGGTACTTAGAGAGTGAATTGCTGGGTTTCAGGTCAGAGCAAATGGACGCCCAAGGGAATTTTATGAGCAGGTACGGTTACAACCTGGGGCCTGAGGGTACCAACTTGATGTGGGAGTTCTCCAATGGAGCTGCAAATGGGCTTGGTTCAAGATCTGGTATTCAGCAAAGCCCGGGTTTTACTAATCCTGGGTTCTCAACTAATAAAGGACAGGTTCAACGGACTCAGGGTTTCCATCATCAGCCTCAGGGGTTTCATGCAGGAACTGCCTCTGGTTTTGGAACTCAAAATGGATTCCAGCAGGGTTTGGGAACTCAGAATGGATTCCAGCAAGGCTTGGGAACTCAGAATGGATTCCAGCACAGCCCTGTGCATGAACAACAGCCAGCAGCCAGCTTCCAGCAAGATGCCAATTTGCAGGCCTGGGAATCCTTTGAGCAACAGCAGCAGCAAGATCCTGAAAGAACCTTCATCCCTTTGAACAGCCAGTTTAATCAAAATAATGTTTTAGTTGCTCAGCCCAGCCAAAGTTCTGGTGATTCTGCCTACAAATTCAGCTACAATGCTGGAGACCACAGCAGATCAGAATCCCTGGCCAGAAACATTGTTTCAGGCTCATATTCCTTTGTTGCTGATGATGGGGTGGAGAGAACTGTGAGGTACACTGCTGGGCCTAACACAGGATTCCAGGCAGAAGGCAATCATTTACCCAAGCCTCATCCTGTTGATGATCAGTTCCAGAATGTGCAAAGAAGAAGATCTGTGAGGCATTTGATGATGCCTTCTTACTCTGGCATGAACATGATGAGACCTGGTGGCTTTTCTTACTTCATTCGCGCCTGAGCTCTTCAGGAGAAATCAAGAAACCTCTTTTGGCATTTAAAAGCATTTTTTTCCAAATTTTAGCAGTATTTTTGTGTGTGTTATGGATGTTTATGAATTAAAAATAAATCAAGCAACCCAAGACTGCCCGTCTGAAAAGATGAATTCTGCGCCAGAATATATTTGGAATGAATCTCATGAGTCAAATTCACTTTTATGATGTTTTTAATCCTGTAATGCATTAAAAAGGAGAGTCACTGCATGTTGCGCATTGTATTCCTTCATCATAAAAGTCTTCAAATGAGTCTCAGTCTTTCGACGGTTTCTCTGACCTTCCAGATCACATCATCCGCGTACTTCCACACCCTAGTATCCATGTCCAGGTCCTGGAACAATCTCCAATCAAGAACACAAGGGAAATACGTAATCCCAGAGTCCCCCGAATGTTTCACGCACTTTGATCTGTAATGCAAAGAGCTCATGGCAGATCCGTCAACCAATTCCTCACTGCACCGCCACTTGTTGCCTACGCAGGCCCAGACCCCGTGCATATTCACCGCGATCACGTAGTCCAAGTCGTGAATACATTTACGTCTGTGTGGGAGTCGTCCTTTGTCATCTGTGTCCTCGACCGCGAAAACATGGTTGAGAAAGAAGTGTCGGTCCTTTGGAATTTGTCCCAGAATCGGCATCAAATGATTTTGTATAGCGTACTGATTGGGTTCTTTAGTCTTGATCATCTGTTTCTCGCTGACGCACAAGGAGGAGACTCTTGAGAAGCCCATGAATTCTGGGCTTTGTTCCAGGTCTGACCAGGTTCTCACTTCGTTCGATTTGTGTATCATCAGCTCGTCCAAGTCGAAAACGGCTGCGAATCTGTACCTGAAGCGAAAAGTAAGTATCACCTTCCGGGATTCGTGCTGAATAAGTGACATTTACGAGCTCTGATGCGCAAGTGGAAAGATGTAAATCTTTGACTCTTATGGGACAGTATTAATATCTGCCGATGGTAGTTGTTTTTACTTGAAAATGGAGTCCATGATGCAGTGATCCACGTCCATTCTTTCAACGGCGATTTGATACTGGTAAATCTGAGATCCAAACGAAGTTGCGGGGTAACCCAGTCTCAAGACAGCAGTTGGCCAAGCTTGGGTTCCGGGCCAGTAAGACTGCTTCACAACCACGAATCCTCTCTTCTGGTAATATCTGAGGTATTCCGGGAAGATGATCTGGTTATTTTCTCAAGGGAAGATAAAATGTTGATGCCATATCTCGTTTTATACACCACGGTGGAAACTCTTCGGGACGAAGACATTGAATTAGAAGATGGAAATGAGCATTATGAAGATTTATTATAATTTAATTTGTTGTATTGAAACTGAAAATTGGTTGTGACTTTCCTACACATAGACTTCAAAAAATGTTAGATGAAGATGGTCGTCCTTGCACGAAGTGCAGTTCTATTATGCGTGTATGACTCGAGCGTTTCTCAACTGTGTGAGGGGGATTCCTCAAGTTGAGAAAACCGATATGAATTGAAATTCCGGATAATTTGACTGCAATCATGCATTCGATTTCCTCGTTTTTATTTTGTACTTCACTTGAGTGTTTTCTCGACGTTCGGATGCTGGAAGTCGCTGGTTAAAGGTATCACCACTCGCTCGGCTTTCATGGCGTGTTGAATTTCCAGCCATTCTGCAAATTCCATGGAATTGTCTTCAAACGGTTGGAAAACGTTTTCTAGACAGATGACGACGCCTTCCCTAGCGACGTGTTCGTCAGGTTTGTTGACCCTGACGAGGTTGTGAATTGAAGGACATTCTTCGGAGCCGTCGACGAGTGACACTGTTGTGATTTTCTGCAGCAACCTGTTGATTTTGCGAATGATTGTGACTGGTTTCCGAGAAATACATGTTTGAATTTAATCCCTTAAGAAGAATGAGGTTGTTTTTTTTGGAATGTTAAGGGAGTTTTTTTTTATCGATAGACGTGTTTTTCTCGCGAATTTAAAATTAAAATCAGGATTGCAATTTTCGAAACGTTGAGTCCACTTATACTTACCGTACTTCAGTTGTTGCATTGATTTCAGAGGCTATGAAAAATTTCTCTTTCTCACCTCTCAGGAAAGGAAAAGCCGAATATGATTGGAGATCCTTTGAAGAATTCGAAGTGATCAGTCGGGATAATGTGTTTCACGCAGGTGATGATAAGAAAACTTTCCGTTTCCTCAGACCAAAGAATTACTTTCAAAGGCAGCAATTCATTGAAAATTGTCGAAATGCTTCTAATTTTCCTCTGTTCGACGTGGGTCTTGAAAAACGTTTCTTCAAACTCGACAAACGTTATGCATCTCAATATTGGATCAGTCGTTTCCCTGGTGTCGACGTGGCAGGATTTTATGTAAACGACTCCAAATGAAGTTTCCAGGACCTTGATACACAATTTTTTTATATTTTAATTGCTTGAATCAGAATAAATCGCATTTTTGCGGATGTGGATTTGATGCAAAGAGCACTTAATCTTTCAGCCTCTTTAGTTTGAGAACACGTTTCTTGAGAAAAAAAATGCGGGGCACAATTTGCAAATACTCCACAATATTTCGGATATTTACTTTAAAAATGAAGATATTTTCTCAAGCAAAAAGTAACTCATATTTGCATGAATAAGTAATTTTCTTTGTCACCTGATATTGTCGATTGCTGAAATGAATGTCGTAGAGATCCGGAAACGCGAAACACTCGGAAGTGGATGGCGCTTTTTGCAATCGCAAAAATTTTTCATTTGGGAGATTGTCGTGAGACTTGAGAAGCTTTGAGAATTCCACCTTACTTTTCTCCTGGATTTTGAAATTCAACATTTTTCAGAACCACGAAAAAGGAAACTTCGTTCAACTTACATATTTGGAAGCGTTTGTCTGAAACGAGGCGAGAAGAAAAAACCAGAAGGAAGTTCTGAGAAATGTTTTCATTTTGACAAAGGAAATGTACTCAGTGAGCTTCTGAAACGAAAAAAAAATTCAAGGGGGGGATTTGGATTTTTTGGCAACATCATGATGAATTTTCCTTTTCATGTTCAAAGAAAGAAGATAAACTCAAGGAGAAACCCCGTCCTACAAAGCTTTCACGAGGTGTTCTTTGGCTTGGACTTGTTCTCAGTTTGAAAATGTAGCTATCTATCAACTATTTTTATGCATAGAAAGCATGAACATAAATTTTAAAATTGAATTGGAATTTGAGGTCTTGGGAATTAATAAAAAGAAGCTTGGTCATTAGAGTATTTTTTCAATTTAATGAAGAAAGAAATTCAGAATTTTTAAAAACATTGTAACGTTTGAAAAACTATCTTTGAAAAACTATACCAAGTATGAGTCACATCCCATTTTAGTTACAGGCAAACTGCAATGCAGTCATTTTAAAAATAAAATAAACGAATTTGTTCACATATGCTGTATAGTACTTCAACTTGAATTGAACCCAAATTGAATCAATTTTGGATATTTCCATTCTTTAAAATGTTTCCTGTAATCTGTCAAATATTTCCTATTAGAATCAATTTGGATCAAGATGCTTCTGTAAAATTTTAAACTTTTCAAATTAAATTTTTATAATGGCATTTGATGCTCACCTTCTTCTTTCCTCTTTAATCAAAAAACAGAAGTGACTGTGGCTCATCAGTACTTGTTATAAAGAATGTAGAAAATATTTCTGCCTTTCATGCCTTGCTCTTCTTAATGCAATACACCACTGTAACAGGATATATTGCCAGCTGTGAGCGCCATTTTGGGATCAAATTGCAATTTCAAGTATTGTTATGGACAAAATTCTAAATTTATAATTATAAAAAATGTCATTATGTTTGTATTAATATGGCTAATTTTAAAACTCAATGAAATGCTTCATTTATCTGAGCAACGTCATATTTTGTGCAGGGTTAATCAAATTTCCCAAAACGTCATACTGTATTCCGAGTTTCCAACTGCAGTACAGTCCTGTAATATACTTCTAGATTTCATCGTACTCCGCCATGTAGGTGAACGAAAGTGAATCTCCATGTTTTGCGTTCATATGAGTGAACGTAGATGTCGCTGTTGGTCTGGCATTGAAGAAGCAGGAGAGAGTCACTACATGAAGAACTAAAGTAACGTGGATGAAAGAAAAAATATATACAAGGACATCGGAAGGTGAATGAGCATAAAGCTTCAACTGCAACCGGCCACTCCTCAAGAAAACCACTTGCAACACTCACAAAGAATCTCGAAGCGTATCTGATGCATTCAGTCGAAAAAGTTTCCCGGAAAGTTTTGAACGATTGGTTTGAAGGCGAGTTCGAATTTGTTTTCGAATTTTCGTCATTCTCAATTTTTGAAGGTGGTTGACTAGTTTGTTAAATGTGGACAATTCTAAATTAAAATGCCGGCAGCTAGAACTAATATGAACTTACTGATTTTTCCAGCTTCTAATTAAGGAAACAGTATACCGTATTTTGAAACTTCGAAATTTCAAGATTCAGTTCGTAGATTGATTCGGGAAATGCATCTAAAAAAAATAACACGGTTCATGAATCCTGTGCCTTCAACACCCCAGTTATTCACCCCCAAAAAATCAACGAGAAATCCGCAATTTTTTTTAATTCCTGCGAAAAATTAGTTACTTCCAAGAAAAGTGAATCATTAATTGCAAAGAGAAAAGAGAAACTTCAATATCCAAATCCCACAAAAACGCCTTCTGTTCCGTCCCAAAGAAAAGGCAATTACAGTAATTATTTTACGGGTTCTAAATATTTTAATGCTCAAGTCCGAACACTCAAACTTTACGATCGCCCCTTCCAGAAAGAGAATGCGTCCTAAAAAATCAGATGCGCGTGTTTCGCCTCAGTGTGAAATTTATATTCCCAAAAATGAACATTCTGTCTGGTATACGTGATTCAGCAGAAAATACCTAATAAATCTCAGTTTCCCTTCAAAAACAATTTTCCTTTAAATTCACGTCAACTGACAGCCAAGTGTTAATAAAAAAAGAGGGTAGGGTAAATATCATCTGGTGACTTTGCGAGGCCCGGGAAGCACAAGAAACAAAGCCTGGTTCACCCAGAACCCAGGCGTCAGTTCCTTTCCTGCATCAGTGGAACCCAGTGCTGGCAGATAAAACCAAATCTGCCTTTTTTCAAGTGCTTGTGAATTCAAGGGAAAAAAATCCATAGAGCAACATGTTTATCTCTGAACTTGTTCTTGGAGTGATCTTAGTCCTGGTGTCTTCAGCAAGGAGTGAGTTTAAATTTTATAATTTTAGACCAAGGACACAGTTTTTCCTCATAGAAAGAACCCCCAGGGGATTATGAGAATCGGGGTTGTATTTGTATGGAATGAATTTCCCTTGGTTCATGATCATCAAAAGATGAAGAAGGCCAACATTGAAAAAGTGTAAAATGACTGATGTGTAAACTAAAAGAGATACTGATCAAATGAACATCCTGGGTTATATCTATCAATGTACAATCAACCCCCGTCTAACGGACTTGATTCGTGCAAGGGACGAGTCTGTTAGATGAAAAGTCCTTTACACAAATTCAATTACATAAAAAAGTAAAAATTTCAATTTTCAACACTAATTAATTTGGTTTTCTTCAGAGTTTGGTGGATTTTGTCTGTTGGGTGGGAGGAAAAACTGCTTGCAGAGCTGGTCTGTTTGGCGAAAATCCCTTACACGGGAGGTCTGTTAGGCAGGGGGCCACTGTATTTTGTAGCATTTCTGATCTCTCATCATTCCAACTGCAATTTTGAGAAAACACAACTTGAAGACCTGTATGCATTTTGAAAAATGTGATACTGTAATTGCATTGCAAAATTGAATTCCGCAGAATTCATTTAAAGCATCCATAATTATGTAAGTACCAAGGCTACACTTTTCCACCTAAAATTTGGACCAAACAATTTGGGGGCATGTCCTACTTTGGAAAGTGCAGTCAACCCCCCTCACAACAGATTTAATGTGTGCAACAGACTATAGTCTATTATGTGAATTCACTTCTTGAAAAATGAAAATATTTACTTGTTACCATTAATTTTACCCCAACATAAGTCTGTTAGGCAGGAGGAAAAACTGCCTCCAAAGGTTTGCCAAAAATCTCTTAGGCAGGAGATCTGTTGGGCAGGGGTTGACTGTATTTCTCTTGAGCAATTTTGAAATGTTGCTGCATGTCACAATTGAAACTGCAGGAACAAAATTCATAACATTCCAAAGAAATGGAAAATATAACTAAGGCAGATGAAGTGAAGCTGAATACACTTTTTATTTGAGTATATACTGTACAGTGGAGTCTTTGATATTGAACACAATTGGCAGTGTTTGCTAGCTGGTATGTTTCTTAGCTGGATTTGAAAATATTTTACCCCTTCCTTGGGAAAATGTCAGGTTCTCTTCCCAAAATATTTTCAAGCTGATGTGAGAACCTAAAAAATACCGAGTTCATAAATAGGGAAGTATTTTAGGTAAAGAAGGCATTCTTCAGCCAAGACTCTGCTGCATGATCAAAAACAGAGAATATGTAACTGGATTTATGTTTCATTTGAAATTACAAATGAAACGGAATACAATTAAAAGGAAAGTTTTTTAGTACTGTATTTGAAATTTCAAAAAAATAAATCATTGACAGGAATGATAACTGAGTTGTTCATGGGTCTTATATGCAGAAAACTTTTTGTGCAAAATTCTAAGCTAAACAAAATTGAGTTGCGAGTCTTACTCAAGGGTGGGCAATGCCTTATTAATTACTCAATTAATGTATTTAAAAAAAAGGTGGGAATGGTGCTGTAACTGATGAGCAGTTGCGTGAAGTCAGTCAATCCCTGTGGCAAGCGGATACAAAGAATGCGAATGGAGCTTTCAGACTGGTCAAACAAGGAAGAACCAGTTTTGGCTCTATTCAGGATAATGCACCCAGCAAGTAAGTGTTCTGAATGTTCTCAATTTAAAATAAATAAGTCCTGCATTTTTAAATTTTGTGACATATTTTCCTTTTCTTTAATACTGTACCTGTTAACAGTTGATTTCTCTATTTTCCTTCTGATGAGATGGAATGTGTTCGGATGAATGTGTGTGGGGAGGTGAGGGGCTTTTGATGTGGGAACAATGTTTGAACCTTGTGAACCCTGAAAAGCGGAAAATGAAGTTTATCAATTGAACAATCATTTATAATTCAATGAGAAATTTTGAGTCACTGTTCCTTGGAAAACAGCTGAACACAATGGAATGATAAATAGTCATCTCTCAAGCTTTCTGTGCACCCTTCTCAGGGTAAAAGACAAAAACTTCAATTCATTTGTTTCTGTGCCAAAAAAAAACCTGACGATTTTACCATCCCTTTTGCAACGTATCAAAACGTTGCTGTTATTGTCCAAGCGATGCCGAAATTATTTCCCTCTTCTTTTGAATTGATTCAATTTGCCCTGAAAATATTTGCGTTCAAAGTACGAATAATATGAACGTTTAATTAAGCTTATTCGCTTTAAAAGAACCCCTTTTTATGGTGCTTAAAAAAGCTTATGCTTTTTTTAGCCCAGAAACGGCATCCTTGGGAGACAGGAGGTTGGGTTAACCCCCCTTTTTTTTCTTGCACCCTCAGGCTGTTCGAAGGAACAACGGCAAGTTTATGGAGTTCTTCCCCGTCAATTTCCGCACTCAAAACCCTGTACGACAACTACGAACCCCTGGTGACCCGACCGGAAACGTTGACCGAAGGGGAGAAAACGGAAGAGAACAACTTCCTGAACGCAGTGTTGAACACGGAAGTGATGCGTGAGGCGAAGCGCTTCCTCACTTCCAACCGGCTCGTCAGTGTTGCCAACGACGCCGCGTTCCGCCAACTGCTGCATAAGCTCTGGTTTGGGCTTTACAGTCGACACAGAGGCACGCCTTCGTCCTCGGGCTTTGAGCACGTGTTCCTGGGGGAGGTCAAACAGGGTCAGGTCACTGGGTTCCACAACTGGCTCTACTTCCTGGACCAGGAGGCCAAGAATAATGTAAACTACTTGGGATGGCTCAAGGCATTGTCCCTTGGAAGAGTGAGTTCAAGATACAGTGCTGTACTATGAAATACACTCAAGGCTGTCCAAGTCAAATTTCAAGGGACCAGAAAAACAATTTGGCTTAGGGAGGTTTCAACTTGGAGAGATTTCACATTGATGGGGAGGCTTTGGAAAATGAATTTTTAATGTGGGAAATAGGGAAGAATTCCAGGAAATTGTAAATGGTGATATACTGTACCTTACATTTTTATTCTAAAATGAGGTGACAGGATGCTGAACTTGGAGGCAAGGGTTCATTTGACCAAGTCCTGCACTTCCTTTCAAAAAACATCAACTTGACATTTTTTATTGCATTTCTCTTTTCTATGTCAATAAAGTAATTGCCAGATTTGGAGGTCTTTTTAACTCAATACCTCCAAAGTCTCCTTTTTGGAAGTTCAATCTCACCATACAACATTGTTCTAACACGAATTAATGTCCATGTCCACTTGGAACTACGATTCAGTTTGGAGGGAGTTGGGGACTCGCTGCACATCCCTCGAAATATGAAATTAAAATTAATATAAATCGAGCGGAAAAAACCGCTCAAGAAGAAAGTAGAGCATCCGCCAACGAACTTTCACTCTAACGATTCACCCCCTCCGAAAAATCAAAATCTTGGCGCCAAGACGTCTTCGACTCGACTTTCTCGAGCCAATCAGACGCCTTGGCGCCAACCCTTGCCCTTGATCCACATCCTGGATCAAGGAGACATCCTGAAAACCAATAAAAGATCAAATTAACCCTATCACATCATCAGTCTGTTGTT